CTTACTGACACCCTTGTGGAGGTGATCAACATGCTCAATGGCTGGAATATAAATGGAATGTTATTACTTCAAAGGGGTGAGCATGCCAAATACAACAAATACACATTCTACATGAGAATTGACCAAATCATAATTTTACCAATAAAGTATACATTGCCTTTATATAAGGTCCAAGAACCTGGGACCTTGTACTTGCAAGGCAGGCGCTTACGTGGCTGAGCTATATCCTCAGTCTGATGGCTGTTTTCAAAGACTAGTCTTGTTTACCTCCAACTCCAACTGAGTCACCGAAGTCTTTTTCATGCACAGCCTCAAAGAATCATATTTTAATCACTTCAACTAAAATTAAACTGAAAACAACCTAGTCAACTTCAACTATTGACTTCCATTTGAGAAAGCAACAATATGTATGTCAATAAGGTCTCTAGCCATTTGAAACAGATTATTTCTACATTTTAAAAGACAGACGAGGGACTCGGGTTCAATCCTTGGCGTGCTGTGCCAGCCCCGCCTCCAGGGTGCGCTGAGACAGCCACTGAGACTGGGTGTGCTGGTGTACGCCTATAATACCAACTCTTGAGAGGCTGAAAACAGGAGGATCACTACAAGTCTGATCTGTGTAGTGAGACCCTGTAGACCTTGTACTAAATACATAAAAGAAGATAAATTTTCATTAAATTAAATACAACTAGGGAAAGAGTCAAAGTTTTATTTCATATTATTCTTGGAAAACAAAAGGAATTTAATTTAGTACTTATGACAAAATTAGCCAATTTAGATACTCTACTGGAACATATTTATGTTGGAAGGTGCATAGGCTAAGTTTTTCCTTACTACATAACAAGCATTTTAGAAAATATTCTTAAATTTCTTGTCTTTTCAGAAGGTTAATATTTTAAATATTACAATAAGTTGATCTAGATTACTCAAACATGGGCTCCAAAGCCAACTTAATTAAACTTACTTTTCTGAGAATGTCTTAGCTACACTTAGAGAGACTTGTGTTGGTGAAGAATAAAATTTGCTTGCCAATCTTGGTCTTTGTCCAAAGAGGCATTTACTTAACGTACACAAGGGAAAATAAAAAATAACTTAGCATTCACTTTAAAAAAGATAAAGCAGATGATTACATAACTACAGATACAAATTTTTTGTTATATAACTACAGATACAGTCTTTACAAGTTTAGCCAGAGTTGGGTGCTGTGGATTTGTTTTAGTTATTTTCTCTGTGGCTGGGTCTGGAGTGAAGAATCAGAAAGTGAAGGCCAATAAAGACAGAAAACGTCTAGTTTCCCCTCATGCAATATAGCTAGAGAGGATCTTTTGGCAAATCCTATTTGCTAGCTAGACAGTTGTGTTAGTTGATAACTTGCGTCAACTTGGCTGAATCAGCTCCCCAGACCTCCGCATGGGGGCCTAGCCCTGCAGGTGGGCAGGGCCCAGGAATTGAGAAAGGCAGGAAGCCGCCCTGCCTGGTTTCCTGCAGCCCCGCCCCACTTCCTTGGAGAAGTCTGTCTTCAAGGGGCTTGATCTTGGCAGCCGCGCCACTTTGGAGGAGCTCGGATCTTCACTGTGGAGCGCAGTCTTTGCAGTCAGCGCAGAAGGAAGAGAGAGGTTTCATGACGCCGCAGCTGCTGCTCCTCCTCTGCTCTTCATTGTTTTCTCTCA